CAGATACTTGTTGGCAGGTTTACGTTGAAAACCTTCCTTCTCTCAATCATAATGAAGTGTTATCTCAGCAAAAGAGAAACATGTGGCAAATAGATGGAGTTTCTTGAAGGGGTGGTTTACACAATCGAGAAGCAATTGACTCCATAGAATAGAAGTTTGTAAGGCCCTGTCTGGTTTACAGTTTCCAAAACGCAGTTATGTTTTGCGAAATAAATTATTTTTATATATTTATTTTGTGTCACATGAAATTACTTGAGATAAATCAGATTGAGCATTCCATGAGAGGAAAAAAAAAAGACGAAATCACACATTATTGGTGATTTTATAATTAACATGACTTCTGAGGACATTGAAAACTTAAACTTCTGTATACATGAATTTAAGAAATGAGAGGAAGGGAACGATGATGATTTTAGGAGAAGAGAATTAAATTAACTAATTGAGGTGGGCCTAAATAGGGTTTTCTTTTGTTTTTTTTGTTTTTATTTTTGGGGGTGGGGAGATGTAGCGCTGGCAATGAAATTGATTTTTGTTTGGAACGTTTGGCCCGCCTCCTCGTTCTAACTCGTTAGTTGTAACCAACACGTCCTTTTAAGGAATTCTAACAGCTCCACTCTTGCATCTCATCACCATTTTTAATGCGCTTCCTCCCCCTTTGACTTTTCTAATTTTCTAATATGAGAGTTAGTTTTAATTTTAATTTAATTATAAATATAAGATTTTAATTCATTTTATCTCTCGTATTTATCTATTGTTTTCAAATAATTCATATAGTAGTTACACACTTGCACGTATTAAATTTTTTATCAAGTAGTAGTTTTAGTTAATACATATGATTAGTAAGGGTATTTTTTTTAAAAATACCTATCTATTACAAATAACTAATTTAACAAACTTTCTTAATTCATTCAAATTAGTCAACTAGCTCTTATATTAAGGATTAGAGGTAATATTAGACAGAATACTATCTCCAATTCTTAATATAAAAGTTAGTTTGGCTTTCAATTTGATCATACATATAAAATTCTATTATACTTTTTCTCTCACATTTATCTATTTTTTAAAGATATTTTTATAATAGTTGCATATATTAAAAATTTTATCAAATGGTACTTCTGATTAATATTTTAAGAAAGACAATACTAATTTATTATAAACAACTAATTTTACTAATTTTCTTAATCCACTCAAATTAGTCAATTAACTCTTATACTACCTCTGGTCCTTAATACAAGATCTTGTTTGACTTTTATTTTGATCCTAAATATAAGACCCCAATCCACTTTATTTATCATATTTATGCATCTTTTTCCAAGTTAGTCATTCTAACAATAATAGTTCTAACCAATACACTTGGTTTGCAAGGATATTTTTGAAAAGATAACATCTATTTATTATAAACAACTAACTTAATTTCTTTTCTTAATTTTTTTAAATTAGTCAACTAGTTCTTATAATTAGGACCGGAGGTAGTATTAAAGTCTGGAGTTAGCATATGAAATGAATGATGTGCAAGAAAATAATAACCAGACGTTATTGCTAAATAAGAGAGAATTGACCATAGATCACATAGCTGCATGGTTGTCTCGAGATGAAAATCTTCCATGTACTTAACATTACCACTGCTTCCATCTACCCGTGGGCATCATAGACTTGTGTTCGGGCGATGCACAAAAACTTTTTTTTTTTCCTCAATAAAATCATAAAAAATACTGCAAAACTAAAATTCTCTATCACCTCTTATTTGAATTTCTGTCTACTCTTATTTTTATTTCCTGATCTGGGCTTTCATTTTGTTTAGATTAATATCCGCAAAAATAACCTTTATCTCAATTGACCTTCACAAGTTTTTTTTAATTTGACTTTCCCAAATTTAAGTTGGAATGAAAGTTAGTTGATATAATATGATTTGGACAATATTTATATCAAATTTTTTATATTTATTATTTCAAGTTTTCCAATCACATATGACGATGTATCCTGTTTTTTTAATCAGCATTTAATAAAATTTAATTATAAATTCACATGAAAAAAACATGACTAGTGATAAATGAAGAACTTAACATAATGGATATAAGAAATTTGATCTAAATTTTTTCCCATATGATTTATATTTAGATAGATTTTTATTAAAAAAAATAGTTTGATATAAGCTTATTTGAACGACGTATTAAAAATTCAGTTTTAAAATTTTAAATATTAAAAAAGGAAAAAATTATTTTAACTTAAAAATGACTTTTGAGTAATACTTCATTCGTTTCTGTTGCCGGAAAAAAAAAACAGTTCGTTCGTTTCTGCCACTATTTGAAGTATATGTTATTTATTTATATATAAATAACACTAATTTTGTTTAATTTTTATTTTGATTATAAATATAATATTCTAATCCATTTTATTCCTCATATTTATTTTTTTTAAATAGTTCTTGTAATAATAATAGTTCTGGCTAATATACTTAATTAGCAAAAATGTTTTACAAAAAAATATTTTTTTATTGCAAATAACTAGATTAATTAATTTTTTTAATCTACTCAGATTACTTAATTAACTTTTACATTAAAAACCAAAAACAGTGTGTATTACTCCTTTGGTCCTATTTATACGGTACTTCCAACATGTTTCACACAGACTAAGGAAAACCTTAAACTTTATTAACTCTCATTTAAAATTTAATAACTTTCTAACTTTATCTCTATTTAATATATATTATAACTCATACAAACAAAGTCAACATAATAATAAATAAGAAGTAAAATTGTACATTCATACAAAAAATTTCTCTCAATATCTTACAAATAGAACTAAAAAAAGTCTTCTCTCTCTATTCTATAAATAAGACCAGACGAGTATCTCAAATTATACAGTACTTTTTCGGTCTTAAATGTAAGTACCAGGGGAGTAGATTGGATTTATATTTCGGCTAAGTCCGAAAAATAAAGGCATTGAAAATCTCGCGCTTCAGCCGCCAACCCGTTCTCATTCCCAGCATTAACTAATGGCGTGCATTAAACAGCCTGACAATGAGATTTATCGATCAACCGACTTCCCAGTTTATTTAAGACCAGCCTTCAGCTAAACTCCCTATAATTTAGAGTAGTACTTATTCCGTTTATAATTATAAGATATTTTTTATTTAATTAATTTACGCCACAAATAAATCATCATTTTATACTACTACTTAAAAAGCACACATTCTTTTCTTGTCTATTCTTATTTAATAGTACAGTGCCTTATATGAGAAATATAAAAATAAAGAGTTCTTAATCTTTAATGCTCAATAAAGGCCATTTCAAAGATAAAAATAAAAAATCTTACTGTATTAATTAAACACTGAAAACCCAAAAATGTCTTATATTTTTAAACGTATTACTCCACAAAAAGAATATCACATAAAATGTTAAACACAGGAGGTATATATTGAGTTTTTATAATATTACCTCCTATCCTCAATATAAGAACTATTTTGATATTTAATTTAATTATAAATATAAGACTCCATTTTATTTTATCTTTTATATTTATTCATTTTTTAAGGTATTCCTAATTGTATTTTAGGAAAAACAATACTCCTCCGGTCCTTAATATAAGACCCAATTCTTGAATTGGTTTTGGTCCTAAATATAAGACCCATTTTTCATATTTATCAATTTTCTCTAAATTACCCCTATAGATACTCTCTTACCCATAATCAAGTAGAAGAGGGAGAGGGGTATTAAGAAAGATGATTATGGTATTTTGGAAAAAATGTGTCACTTTTTTTATAATTAACTAATTTACCTAACTTCCTTAATCTAATCAAATTAGTTAAATGGGTCTTATATTAAGGACCGGAGGAGTACATATTTATTACAAATAACTAAATTAACTGATTTTTTTTAAATATACTCAAATTAGTCAACTAGTTTTTATATTATAGATTAGAGGTAATATTTTATATGACAGTGATTATAAAGAGTTAATAAACACGAACAGAACAACAGTATTTATTAATATCTCATGATACTATTTCAAAGGGTGGAAGTAGATAATCTATCAATAGCTTCCTTTTTTTTTAACCAGCAATCTATAAATAGCTTCAGAGGTACTCTTTTCTGTTCATATCATAAGTCTCATCTAACTACCTAATCAAAACTAATTAAGGAAACATGATCGAGTACGTCATGTATATGTGTGTGTATGTGTATATACTTTTTCACTTATAAGTTATTTTTGACATGTTTTACTCAAAAGAAGAGAAACCTTAATCCCCATTAATTATATCTTAAAAATTTAATAATATTTCAATTCTTCTCCTATTTTACATATGAAAAATTTAATTTAATAATAAGACTTACTCCTTCCAGTTCATAACATATGACATTTCTAATTAATCTGTATGTACCAATAAAAATAATTAAAAATATTAAATTTGTCATAAAATTTAAATAAATATCAATATTAGCTTTATTAACTATATTAAATTCAAACATTACATTAATTTTTGCTCTCATGTAGACATAATATAAAGAATATTTAATATTTTTTTAAACTATTAAAATGACTTATAAAACAGACCAAAAGTTCTCTCTACTAATGAATTAGAGGGAGGACAAACAGGACTTTTCCCTCTTTTATAAATATAATTAAATAGAAGAGTTAATGTTTTTTGTATAATATAAACAGAAAGAGAGAGGGAGAGAGTGGCGTGGGGGTGAGGGAGAATGCGGTTAATGACCGTTTAACGCCTTACCAAAAAAAAAAAAGACCGTTTAACGCCGGCGCATTGAAGCATGAAAACGCATCCATCGGGGCAAGACACCAGCGTCCGGTTCCGTCCCTCACTCCGATACTTACAGTGGGACCCTCATTTAGTACTCACTCTCTTCCTTTTATTTTACCTCTTCTTTCTCAATTTCACTTCTTTTCACTAATCACTTCTGCTTCCTGATCTGCTTCCTTACGCTTCCTTCCCAATTCCACTGTGCAACAATTTCACCACAATTAATTATTAATTTTTTTAAAAAACAAAGCGAAAAAGAGAAAAGCCAAGCCAAGAAAGAAAGGTTCCCGAAGCTTTTAGATGCTTTATATGATTCAAAGAATTCTAAGGTGGCTTTGATTGCAGATATTCTTCAGTAATGGGGGTTGCTGTTCGTATCCCCTGGTCTCCCAGGTTCTGCTTTTCTTTTTGGAAATTCAAAAGGCGAGTGCTTTCTCTTTTGCTCCCTATATGTTGTTGGTTTGGCGGATACGAATTTCCCACTGGTTCTTAGGGTTCTTACTGTTTTCTGGAGTGAATTCAGAAGCCAATTGTGTAAGAATATCTCGTTTTTATTCGTCTATGTTGGGTGGGTCAACGGGATCGGTCTGATTTTGTCATCTTGGTTCTCTTTGTCTCAGCCTCTGTCTCACTTTTTAAATTCTGTTTTTAGTTTGACGCGTGGGAGACATGAGTTTTTCACTTGTGTCTTAATTGCCGCATACAATTTCGAGCCATACGTGCTTCCGTTTACAGAAGTTCAGTTACTTCCCATACAGCATAATTATGACGGATTTGATTGGCAATTTTAATTCTATTAGTTGTTGCTTATTTTTATATTCATGAAGGGTGATCTGAAACTAATGACTAGTTCTTTTGATCATAAACCGGGAAACTACTGTTTTTGGGATGACTGCATCATAATTGTAATGCGTGACTGGCTCGTTTCTAACGTTCGCGCAATCGCAGATTTTTGAGTCAAGTGAAACAGTATGAAAAGTAGAATAAGAGAAAGAAGGCGGCGCGATATCAGCAGGAATTTGCGGAGGATAATGAAGTGCCTATGTTCAGGGGAGCAGTTGAGAGGAGCAGACGAAATGTTTCCTTCATCTGAATCTGTTGCATCCAAGGATTATTCAGTGAGTGGGGATTTTTGCGCAGCTGGACAAGTTGACAAGAAGAAGCCGGACACTGGTAATATAGAAGAAGCTGAATCATCCCTTCGTGAGAGTGGTTACTTGAACTACGAGGTTGGTTTTCTTCAAAATTCAGCGCTTTAAAGTTTGCTGCTAGACTTTAGTCTTTACTATATGCTCCTCTCTCTCTCTCTCTCTCGCTCTTATTCATTCTAAAGGATGCACAAACATATACATAGATAGATACGCGCGCGCACGTGCATACGCTGAAGAAAAGAAATTTCATGTTCCTCTTGTTTCTTTTATTTCTTGAGAGGTGTATTATTATTGATATATAAACTATACATAATTATCTCTCTTCTGTTCCTTCATTAGTGGAAAGTTGAGCGCCCCGTACACCTGGGTGGTTGACACAATCTCCGTCTTACCTGATTGCAGAATTAAATGTGATATGGGCAGTTGTTTTGTTTCAGATCAGATAGACCATCACGCACTAAGTTTGTGTCATGATTAGCCCTTGTTTTTTGGTGGTGGCCTTGACAAACAACAACCTTGTTATTATGTTCTGCACCTGACCTCATCTTGTTCACATGGAGCAAGTTAATGCATACGGTGCTTGATAAACTATTCATCTGTCTTGACAACCAATTCCCCTTTTCCCCTTAAGTTCTTTACTTATCTGTAAATAATTATAGTCAGAGACAGTTCAGGATCCCTTTTCTGGAGTAGTATTTCTCAGTTTATGTAATATGCAGGAAGCTAGAGCTTTGTTAGGAAGATATGAATTTCAGAAAGGCAACGTTGAAGCCGCTTTACATGTTTTTGAAGGAATAGATATAGGTGCTGTGACTCCTAAAATTAAAATTTCCCTTGCCCAAAGGGCAGAACAACCTAAGAGACATAAGAGACATTCCCGGCATTATGCTGCACCACCAATGTCAATACATGCTGTTGGCCTACTATTGGAAGCAGTCCTCCTGAAAGCAAAATCGTTGCAGGCTCTTGGAAGATTTAAAGGTACCTTCACTGGTTGTTTGATTCGTAGATTTGCTTCTTGTCTCTTCAATTTACTGGCTTTTAAGGGTACTTTCGTTTGTTCACTTCAAAGAGTCATAAGAAAAATGAAATCAGATGCACAAACAGTTCCATATTGTGTTCGCTTCACTTGTCTGCTTTACGATCTGGGATTTGAAACTTGTTCCCATAACTATGGGGCATATATAAGCTTCCTATATTATATCACTTCAACTAACAATGTTGTTAACTGTTGAATAATCTGTCTTTCTTACTCAAACTTTATCAGCTAGATCCAGCAGCCAATCAATCTTTTGAATACTGAAATTAATGGAAGTTTTGAGCTATTTAAGAAGCCAGTATGTAATCTAATGTATATTTCATTATTCTTGCAGAAGCTGCCCAATCTTGCAAAGTTATTCTGGACATAGTTGAATCTTCATTACCCGAAGGTTTGCCTGAAAACTTTGGTGCTGAATGTAAATTGCAGGAGACTCTGAGCAATGCGGTTGAGTTGCTTCCAGAACTATGGAAACTTGCTGATAGTCCTCGTGAAGCTATTGTGTCTTTCAGGCGGGCACTCCTTCATCGATGGAATCTTGATGCAGAGACTACAGCAAAGATTCAGAAAGAGTTTGTTATATTTCTTCTATATAGTGGTGGGGAAGCAAGCCCCCCAAATCTCCGTTCCCAAATGGACAGCTCATTTGTGCCCAGAAACAACATAGAAGAGGCTATACTTCTTTTGATGATTTTGGTAAGAAAAGTCACTTTAAATAGAATTGAGTGGGATCCTTCAATTTTAGACCACCTTTCATTTGCTCTATCTGTTTCTGGGGATTTGACAACTCTAGCTAATCGATTGAAAGAATTGCTCCCTGGGACTGTCAGCCGAAGAGAAAGGTATTTTAGTCTTGCTCTCTGTTATTTTGGAGCCGGAAAGGACTTGATGGCACTGGATCTTCTGAGAAAAGTGTTGAGTAGTAAAGAGGACCCTAAACATGTTCCAGCTTTGTTAATGGCATCAAAAATATGTTCTAAGAACCCTAGTCTTGCAGAAGAAGGGGTAAGCTTTGCTTCCAGAGCGCTTGACAGCTTGGATGATAGATGTGATAAGTTAGAAAGTGTTGCCAATTGCGTACTTGGCGTTTCACATTCAGCAAATTCGAAATTAGCCATTTCTGATTCTGAGAGGCTTGACAGGCAATCTGAGGCACTTCGTGCTCTGGAAACCGCTGGCAAAATGACTCGAATGAGAGACCACAATGTATTATACCATCTAAGTTTAGAATATGCGGAACAGAGGAAGTTGGATGCTGCACTTTATTGTGCAAAATGCCTACTAAAACTGGAATCTGGGTCGAATGTCAAAGGGTGGCTGTTGTTAGCTCGAATATTATCAGCTAAAAAACGGTTTTCAGATGCTGAATCTATTATCAACGCTGCTTTGGATCAGACTGGGAAATGGGATCAAGGGGATTTGTTGCGAACAAAAGCTAAACTTCAAATTGCACAGGGCCAGTTAAAGAGTGCCATTGAGACATATACTCAACTTCTTGCTGTTTTTCAGGTTCAAAAGAAAACATTTGGTCCTGGGAAGAAGCTATATAAGGTTTGTGGATTATATGAAACTGATGATTAGTTAGTTAATTTATAATTATGAATCTTGAGCTTTTGTTCCTGGGGCTAATTCTTGCATGAATTGGCTGGAGTGTAGAGGCGCAGTCTCCATGATCAACTGTCTGTTAATCTGGATAACCGGCTAGTCTGTAACTAACCATAGTGATAGGAATGGCAAAATTTGTTACTGGCATCTCGGCTCTCTCCAAGATACAAACCTTAGAAAAGGGAGGTTATTGTTGGGCGATGCTGGATAGTTTTTTGAAAATTCACAATTTACTATTGCCACTAAATAAAATTAAAATTAAAATAAAATAAAAAAGCAGTATCAAGACCCTTGTAGTAACAAAGTGTTTGACATGGGCACATACATGGAAAAGCAAGTGTTGGATGCATAAATTTCCTAAAAGTTTTGGACATTTTGACAAGGACATTCACAAACACATATTTTTAAATTTCCTGGTCTTTTGTCTTTTGTCTTTTTTTTTTTTTTTTTTTTTTATGCCGGACTAATTCTTAGTTTTGCTTATGCAAGATGTGTGGTTCAGAAAAGAACCGTTCCGGGTGGCTGCTTACCTATTTTCTGTGCTACTTGACTCAGGAGAACAGAGATCATGCTAAGAACCTGGAAGTCGAAGTATGGCATGATCTTGCCTGTGTATATATAAGCCTGTCACAGTGGCATGATGCTGAGATTTGTCTTGTGAAGTCTAAGGCCATCAAACTTTACTCAGCTTCTAGATGTCATACAACAGGTAAATATGTACCATTTTTATATGCATGAATTTTATTTTCTTCCATTTATATTTTCTGAGGGTAAAATAATTTACTTTGATTTTTTTGTTGTACACTGAAGGCTTGAAACTAGCCATGCCTTTTCAACCGTGCCTGATTCCATTTCGGATGGAAGTACAGAAGTTTGATGTTTGGCAATGAGTTTTGTTTTCTTAACCAAAAAAAAAAAAAAAAGTGGTAGCGGTGGATAGTAGTTTTTTTTCTTATGAAAAAAGCAAAAGTAGTATGGGACATTGGATAGTTGTATTAGAGGGGGATGACAAAATTAGATGCATATAGTTTTTGCACTTATATTTTGTCCTCTTAGCCAGAAGTAGCAGAGGTCCATAGGACATTTGTTTTCCTTCTCGTACTCGCATAAAATGGGCTCTTGTCGTCTTGTTTGATTTTACAGGAACTCTTTATGAAGCAAGGGGTCTCCACAAAGAGGCTTTAAAGGCTTTTGGTGATGCTTTGAACATTGATCCCAATTATGTGCCGAGCTTGATTTCCAGGGCCTTGGTTCTGAGACGGTGCAGCGGTAGTGAGGAATCAAATGCTGTAGCGAGAAGCTTTTTGATGGATGCACTGCGCCATGATAGATTGAATGCTGGCGCATGGTATAATCTTGGCCTTGTTCACAGGGATGAGGGTGCAGTCTCGTCGTTAATGGAAGCTGCGGAATGTTTCGAGGCTGCTCATTTTCTTGAAGAAACTTCGCCTGTTGAACCTTTCAGATGACGGCGACCACTTGATTTTCAAGTGTTGTTGACCTTGGTGAGAATGTCAATGAGAAAGTCTTGTTTCATTATTTGCTTTGATTGATTCCCCTTTCTTGCTGCTCCTCTCTTTAATTAGTGATTGAATAGGAGGAGTAACATTCGACACTTAATTCTGATAGACAAAACGAAAAACACACCATCAACCAAATTTATTTAGGGAATTTGTTTTCATGATAATTTCCAAGCAAGTCTAAAACCACAAACAGTATATTTTGTTATTTTTGTTGATTATTAAATTGAATATATTTAGTTATTGACCGAACAAGATGCGGAATATATGTGTGTGTGTGTGTTCTCTTTCCATCGACCATTTTCTATCCCAGCTACCCATTCTCTCCTATCAATTGTGGCGATAAGATGAACACTGCTTGCTGAAACCTTTTGAGATCGTATTCTCTCTTAAATAATATTAATAACTTAGTAGCCTCTCAGAGGACCGTTATTTTTGCAATTGTTGACTGAGAATTCTGAAGTACTCTGATTATAAGGTTGAACGGAACAAGTGATTATTATTATTATTATACAACTGAAATGGCGTGCGAGTTCCATATTTTTTTTTAAATCCAAAAAGCCCAAGACAGAAACATCCATATCCATTGTGCACAATAAATATTATATACAATGAAAAAAAATATTAGGTTCAATTTAACCCAGCTATTTATTTTAAGAATATGGTATGATTGCCAATGCTCCAAAAAAAATAGACCCATAATAGGAAGATAAAATACTGGAAAAAATTTTATAATCTGAAAAGAGTGCAATAGTAACAGTTACCATCCCTTTCTTGCGTAATGTTTATCTTGCCAAATTGGACTATAAGTACATATGACTATATATCATCAATGTTATGAGTATGAATAAGGAAAAATACAGATCTACCAAAGTCCCACCCCCCCCCCAAAAAAAAAAAAAAAGATATACCAGAGTACTGTATTTTACTCTGCAGATGCTTGTTACCGCTCAGGATGGCAATGGGGAACAATCCACTCCAGTCCAAAAAGAGTGCTGCGCCTAGCCTAGGCATCTTAACTTCGAAGTGTACTCCGAGATTAAGCAACAAGCAAGCTAAAAAAATGACTTTCGAATTGCCTGAAGATGCAAATCAGATGATAATAGAAATTCAATAGTTAAGAGGTGCCGCTGATGGAAATGGGAGTGCAAAACATTGATGAAGATATATGGCCAGATTTGAATTGGAAATTTTAAGGTGGACGCTGAGATTTTGAACGAAAATTCTAGCCAAAGAATTTGCCAGTTAACACTGATGTTCATAAGCGGCCTTACTATCTACAGTGCAGAGGAAATCACCAAATTGCATGTCATATTCATGAGTCATCCAGTAGTACACATTGCTAAGAGGTAATCCCAGCATCTGTAAGAAAAAAATTGAAAGCTCGTGACTATATCATAAAGTACGGAAGCATACTAGAAGGGTAGGAGTAGAAAAAGAAGACAAATAAAAGAAAAAAAGCACCACTTGGCATAAAGTTTTTGTCCCCCAAGTGCTTCAAAACCGTAACCATCGCGAAAGGTTAAATCAAGAAACAAAGGATTTTCGGTTTTCAAGGTGTCAAAATATCTCCCTTTACATAAAGTGAAGCCTTCGACAGATGTTGCCTTCTCTTTCTTATGGGCATGCATCCAGTTGTTTATTGTTCATTCTATTTTTGTTCCTGATCAATTCAATATATTATCTTCAGCTTACCTTATTCCAGCTACATTTTAAAACAATTTGATAGTCCAATTCTTCCAAGTTGCTGCATAACTATGTGAATAAACTTCCCAAGGAAAATGTGCACTCGTGCACGATAGCTAAAACACAAATGGGGGGGGGGGGGGGGGAGAAAAAAGGCAGTGAGTATCAAGTCTGGTCGATGAGAGCTTTGAGGAATGACTGATCATAGACTGAATGATGGAAGATCAAAATCAGACGCTCAGAGAAATATCGAACCTAAAGTTCACACATCCCATACCTGAAGGAACATGAAAAATACCTTCTTATTTACAAATAGTGCAACAATAGATCAGCTGAAGTATTTCTCAACCTGCAACTCTGTCCAAGGTGAACATCCCCAAAAACATACCTGCAATATTTTGTGCCATAATGTGAAAAAAAAAAAAAAAGGATCAATTGAACGAAGTTAAAACAAACAAAAAAAATCTAGATCAGTAATTGAAGCTTTAAACAGAGAAGAATTAAAAAGAACCTATATTCACAATATTCTGGCCATGCACAGCGTGCTTTCCCATAATCCCAATAACAATCCTCATTCCTTAAAGGTCCTCGCTTAGCTGTTAAGGCACAATGTCAGCGGAACCTTCCCAGCTCAAACCTCCACAATGCTTTAAGCAACGCAGAAATACCTTTTGTTACAAAATCAGATTTTGCATGGGGATGAATATCATGCCACATTTCAAGCCACAACTCCCTCATTAGAACTGGTGATCTAACAATGTTCCTGTGATTTGCTACATTTAATGTATCGTCAATTAATGTGGATGTATCTACAAGGTCACTGTTGGTTATAAGCAAGGAAAATAATTAATAAGCAAAATTTGTTGGGAGCTTTTGTTATGAAATCTCCAGTTTCACAGATAAAATCCTTCCCTAGGTGATAAATAAAAGTAATCGCCTAACCTTGGCACAAAACTTATTTCATATTTTAAAACTCATCCATCTTCATGCAAACAGAATAAAATCTTAAATCTTCATATGGTTCTAGCTTCTAAGTTTTGACTACCGATTCATTCTAAGAAAATGACTAGAAGAAGCTCCCCAAAACTGAATGAGCTTGCTTAACTGATGGGGCCTAAGCGATTTAGTACGCATTATTTCAGTCCTAAGGAAAAGCATTTGCAAGTTTGTCAGGAAGAACGAGGACAAGTCATGCACCTTTATCAAGCTCCCAAACTGCTGTCCTCTTTCCAGGAATACTTTCCGAGTCTTCATAAAAGGTTACGTACTTAACCTTAGGTGACTTTGTCATGTTTGGAACAATATCTTTGTCATGTTGATGTTCCACATTCAATTCAACTTGTACATCGGAACCATCATGCTCTGACTGTAGGGTAAGAGCAGAGATATTATTGTTGCCATTAACAAAATTAAGATAACAACAGTGTGGTGGCAAGCAATACCACATGAAGCTAAGAATAGCATTAGGGTTAAGAATTAACGAAATTGAAAAGCTTTAAATGCAGCACTTATGGAGGAGGATATTAAATTAGATGCGGAATCAAATGAAAAACAACTACAGATAAAAACACCCATGACTTAAGGCATAGCACGTCAGAGCTAAACCGATTCAAGAGCAACGAGATGAAAGAGTAGTCTACTCCAAGAGAAAGGACTCGATGTCTCAAATAATCAAAACATGAATCCTACCTCATCAACGATAGTTGATAAAGGAATCGATATCTCAAATTCAAGATTTTTCAAAAGGGAAAAGCATGTTAGAAGAGCTTCTCCCCATTTAGGGCCAATCCGGCTTAAATTTAGACTGGTTAGTTGTACCAGATACAGGATGGTTTGTTACCCCGGAAAAAATGGCCATACATCATATTCTAAACTGGAATACCTGGGGAGCTCTTGTTATGTTCACCTTAGGTCCAAGCCAGTTTTTGCACCAGGCGAGGGAGTTGTATGGTACCTGTAAAGAGTTAATTTAAATGCAATCCAATTCCAGAACGGGTATACTGCATTTCCAATTCTTAAGACAATAAGAGTACTACAGCAATAGTTTGAAATTATCAAGTTTCTCCACATAATCACAATTGCAGTAAAGGAATCATAATTGGAGCTAACCGTCTCATCTCCACTGGTGGCTCCAGGATTTCCATCGACTAGATTCCCTGACCTAATAATCCATGAAAAAGAACAGTCATAGTAATGAAAACTTCTTTCAAACTTTCCCAACAATGCATTAAGCCCCTCTTCCGCTATCCCTTTCATTGAAATGAAAAATAACAGGCAAAAATAATAAGAATAAGAATAAAGAACAAATGAAAATAAAACAATCGGAAAGGAAATAAAGATTGTAATCTTCCTGGTCCCAATGTTAAATGGGAAGAAGTTCTTTGTTTATTTTTCTTTTTCTTTTTTTTTCAGGTGCGTGTTTTGTCAATGACATGCTTTTCTCTACGAATGTCAACTTGACTTGTCAATAAAAAATTTAAGGTTTGCTTACTAGGAGATATGAATAATACTACCTCTAGTCCTTAATATAAGAGCTTGTTTAACTTTCAATTTGATCCTAAATATAAGAATCTAATCCACTTAGTCTCTCATATTTATCCATTTTTTTTCCTAAAGTAGTCCTTGTAGTAGTTGCAAATATTAAATATTTCATGACATTTGATTAGCAAGAATATTTTAGGAAAAACAATACTTATTTATTACAAACAACTAAATTAATTTTCTTAATCTACTCAAATTAGTCAACCAGCTCTTATATTAAGGACTAAAGGTATCATAAGATATACAAATGAAAAGGTATTGTCTAAGTTTTATAGCCAGAGACAAAATTCCTTTTAACATTATGAACCCTCAGAAGGTCATTGCCCTTGAAGTAAAAATGTTACAAGGCAGAGAAAATAATAGAATCACCAACAGCAATGAACATTTCAAATATTAATAGTTAATATAGCCAGAGACAAATGAAAAGGTATTGTCTGAGTTTTATAATCAGAGACAAAATTCTTTTTAACATTTTGCACCATCAGAAGGTCCTCGCCCTTGAAGTATAAATGTTACTGATATGGATGAACCTTGCAGAAACTACCTTGAAATTAGAGATCCTTCATGCTCATATATGATATCTGTAATTATCCAGTTATCAGGGTATGGCTTGCCACTGGGAGCAAAGTAGTAACCAACCTATTTTTGAAAGCGAAAATATCAGTATTGATGCTGACGTTATCTCTCAATTCTAATCAATTTTGGCAGACTACCCAAAGACTATAGTTACAAAATAAAATTTTGAGTATTGGGGATATAAAAAACAAATATTGAAAAATCCAGGGAATTGGTAATAGATAAACTTTTGACATTAGTTTTTAACACTTCCAGAGTGATCTTGAGGGATTAATGAAAGAAATGCTTACAATCAATTTCCTGCCATTAACTATTAACTTTAGCAGTGATGTAAAAGATCAGACATAATACACTATTCGCTTCTAGAAGTACCTTAGTCCTTGACTCAACGCCATAAATGCAGAAGACATTTCGTATTGGTGGACGGTCCCAAGGTGTTAGTGGATTAAGAA